AATACCGACGGGTGGCGAAATTGCGTTGTGTGAGTGCACGTATGGGTTCTTGGGAGCAAATTGCAACATCCAGGATATGTGCGCGGAGTAAGAAATTTGTAACTATAACTTTTGTTATTATAATTTTTTGTAATCGGCTTTTCAGTAACAAAACCTGCGCTGCTTACGGACCCGAGGCGAAATGCTTAGTCGATGCTGTGAGTTTGTCCAACAAAATCACGTCAACACTTATCAAATCTCCATACCTGTGCATGTGCTACAATGACAACTCAGGTAAGTTACCAACGCATCCCAGTATCTCATTTTATACTATTCCCATTTCAGAATGGGTCGACTGCTCCGAGCTGCCGCCTTCAGAGCTACCTCCGGTACCGAATGCCCCGAGAGCACAACCGCCACCGAATCCATCTGACGGACCACCTCATGGCTCTGGCTCATTTGAATCCTCGAGTGATGGGGACGATGAGCTTCCGAGCCCGGTGCCATCTCTCAGAGGCCCGTCAACTCCTGAGACTTTGCCTCCAGAACTAATGCCTGAGCCGAAAGGAAACAGTAGCGATGTTTTAGTTCCAAGTGGAAGCACACAAATGCCCCAATTCCCTATGCACGTTCACGTGACGGCAAGCCCGACAAGGTAAATCTTGCTTCAGGTTCCAATTCTTGATAGAATTATGGCCTGGATACAATTTAAAGGAATTTAACTAATTTATCTATTAACTATTTTTACTATTCAGTGCATAACTATTAGAAACAAAAATTACTTTCTGAACAAGGAATGTACGTGTTGCAAAATTTCAGCCATGACTCATCTTCTAGTGATTCAACATCAAAAGAAACATCACCCTTCAATGTTCCGAATGCCCAAAGCAACCACACGATGGATCCACCGCCTCCTTTCCCTATCACAAATATGTCTCAGAAGCTTATCAATTACCTGAACACACTGACCACCAAAGTTCCCAGCCAAATCGAGTTCCAAAACGTGACCAAGGACGTTACGAAAACGGAACCGACGACTTTGCCCTTTGACCCACAGACAACGCCCTTGTCAACAACCGTTCAAACGACTTCAAAACAAGGTTTGATATTTTTATGTAGAGTACAATTTTTTGATTCCTAAACATAAAATCCATAATTTCCTGGGCCTCAGGTGCCAATAAAAATTTAACTAATCACCAGTTTTCCTCTATGATTATGCCAATTTTTTGCAAAATTTTGTGCAGTTTATTAATTTGTTTGGTCAAATATGCAAGTTTTGAGAAAACATAACTTCTTTTTTCTGATTCATTTTTCAAAATCATTTCATAAATGAATAGTGCGACTTTCCGGTCGAGGTTTTGAATCAATTATAAGTTTTTGACTCCGCTGACTCCGAATCTGAAGTCATTTATTATGCCCTCTAAATAATAAAAATAGATATAATGCTAGAAAATGGAACGAGAATGTTAAAGATAACTGCAGATTCGGATTTATCGAAGTCAAAAACCAATAAAGGCGACAAAATTTCGACCGAGTTCCTCTTAAAATTACCGTGTTTCTATAAAATATCCGCACCTTTTTAGACATTGCAACTCCTGAATTGCGTACAACAAAGCCCACCTTGGAGATAAACGCAACCAATGCTCCTGCACTAACTTCAAAGCCCACGGAGATGCCAGCACCATTTAGTTTCAATACCCAACCAAGTCCAACTTCAACCTCAAAAGAGTCTGAAAAGGTGGTGAGTGGAGGTGAGGACGACGATGAGCGAGAAGGAGATAACGGGTTTGAGCGAGTTACTCAGATCGCATCCGAAATCTCGTCTGAGACCACGACTTCACCTGAGGAAGAAACCACAAAAGCTCACACCCTGAGGCCTCAGATTTGGCCAAATGGAGAGCCGACCATAAATCGATCGGAAGCGGTGAGTTTAGAATTCAAATGTTGGCATCCTGCCAATTTTTAACTAAACCTAGATTTAATTTTTTGCGAAACATTACCTTTTTTTCAAAAAAGGTTACTTCTATGTTGACATGATATGCATATGGCTAAACATTCGCAACAATTGCTTCTAAAAGTGCAATTGCTATATGTTCTTTCATTTTCCAGATTGAGACCCACGAAACGGATCATTTCGGTGCGCGACCACCAATGGGCGGATTTTCCCCACACGAAGAACACGGCGGCGCTTTCGTCTCCCCGTCATCGGGAATCGGCCCTGATCAGGAAGAGCATAATCATGTTGAGATGGAGTTTCCGGGCAAACCAGCTGATCCTTTCGGGCCATCGTCACCTATGCCAATCCCGCCAGAGCACTTCTCACCTGACCACATGACCGAAGAACATTCCCATAACAATTCTGTTGTTCATTCTGGTCACGAAAAAGGAATCCAGGTTTTTTTATCATTTATAATGCAAAAATTTCAATGTTTCATTTTAGACATCGCATACCGAAAAGACCGACGATCAAAGCAAGTCGGGAGGGAACGAGTTCTCGTCTCAGAAGAATGGCAACAATGTGCGTGGAGGAAAGGGATCGGAAGAAAACAAGTCACTCGGAGTTGAGTCTAACCATGTCGGCAGTGCTGAAGAGAGGGTTCGTGTGCCGGACGAGAGCAAAGAAAGTAGTTCGTTTGGAAATTCCACAACTTGGATCATTGCCATCGCCGTTTTGTCTTGTAAGCTTTTAAATTTCCCAACAGGAAATTGGAATGACTTCAAAGTACCGCAATATTTTTTATTGGACATAGCTTATTTTTCTGTTCTTGACATAGCTTAGGTTTTCCGCAAAATTAGTTGGTTTTCTCTGATAGTTCTCTGCATTTGGCTAATAGTACTATTTTTGTATTTGTATAACTTAACTTAGTACTATTTTTGTATAACTTTGTCAGCTAAAAATAACTTCCAGTCTTTTTGTTTCTGGGCACTTTATTGATTTTCACTATAATATTTTCCATTAAATAGGAGCATCAAAAGATAATTTATAATAGTTATTTTTATGATTGAACCTATGCTTAGAAATAAAATCTTGGCCCAGGTAAAAAAATTGGAATTTACTGATAATCGAAATGTCTCCAAAATATTGCAACTTATGAACGCAAATATTGAATCTTTGCAATTTCGGAAGTCTGCCAGTATAAACTCGAAATGAAGTAAACCTAAAAAATAGAATTTAACGATAAGAAAATTTGGAAAATAAAATACGAATTTTTGCATTAGAATTTCTCATAGCTGTAGTAAACCTCTGATTTTGTTCAAATTTTCTATAACGTCAATTTTTCCATTGTCTTTTTTCTCTTACATCCACACAAATTGAAGAAATTTACGTGAATGCCAGAGAAAGAAAAACTGAATATAGAAAAATTTATGTTAGAAATATCTGCGTCAGTTGAATAAAACCGAAAATTTACTGAAGTATTTCCATACAAATTTAATTTGAACCGTAAAGCTAACGTTAGTATTTTCAGTCCTATCCTTGTCTGCCATGACCGGAGCGGTTTGCATTGCTCGATACATCCGGAGGAGTCGACGACTTCACGGAAAATACAACCCTGCCAGGGAGGAAAATGCCGTGTCAGCTTGTACATACTCAATGCCGATGACAGCCATTAGCAAGGAAGAACGACTTATTTGACCTTTGTGCATATTCTGGAACAATTTTGTTTGTCTTATTCAAATTTTTGCAAAATTGTTTGTATTTTGAAATTCCCGCCAGTTTCATTTTTGTGTTATAAAATTCTCATTCGACGTTCAAAACGATGCCTTTTCTTTGATTTTGCTGGTGCAGACGCTGGTGCTTTACATTTTGTGCTATATTGTTGTTTGATGTATGTAATATATGAATCTTGATCTTTTTGTCGTAAAGTTTAGCTTTCTGGATGAGTAAAGCGGAATGGAATAGCGAATATTTACAAGGAATCTGAATTCAAGAAAAATTATTGAAGGCTGAATTTTTCTAATAAAAACATTTTTCTTGGTCAAAAATGTTTCGTTACTTCCCAAATTTTTGATGAAAATATTTCTCATGCGAACTTTTTTGCCTAAAAAGAGTTTGTCTTGCTAAAAATTGGACTAGTGGAAATGTTTAAACTTAGATAAGTCTTCCAATTCCATTATTTCTTCCAATCAGACCAAATCTGTGAAGAAACCTAAGCGAAAATATTTTACATCGCCCGTTTGTTGTTCGAGATTTCACTTATTCTTCATTCTGTAAAAATTCTGAAACTGTAAATGTCTTATTTTAAAGTTAAAATTTGATTATATCCCTCAATATAGGCAATTTTTTTAATGTCACTGAATATTCGAATATTTGACACAGAATACTACGAAAAAGAAAATTTCCGTCAAAAAAGTTATACCCTTTTTGAACAAAGCTAAAATATTTTTGTAGGACCACTGATTTTCGAGATTAGTATGCGGATAAAAGCCTAATTTTGCCAGAAGATAACGTTTTCAAGTGATCTTTGATCATTATAAACTTGTAGTATAAATTCAAAGGTCGAAAATGTTAATGCCTACGTTTAAGTATACGTTTTCTCCTGTTTTCTTTCGATGTATTGTAAAATTGCTCAAACAAAAGAGAAAAATACTTTCATTTTCTCGCATGTTCCTATTGCATTGTAGCGAACAGTTTCGTGTACTTTTATGAAATTTTTGTGTGGCATTTGCCCGTGATTGCTTTGCATAATTTTACAGATGAATAAAGAATTGTACTTTTATATTATATATAATATATACAACGGTGCATATTTATCGCCTATAAAAAAATTCGAGTTTCCTATAAAGAAGCCGGTAACAGCGCCAGAATCCATAAAAATTAGAGATTTCGCTCACCCCGAATCCAGCCTAGTACGTAAGGGAGATTCTTCTTAGAAATTCTTCATAGGAATTTGATCTTTTTATTTATGATCAGCTCGTTCATAGTTTCAAACAATAATTTTTAAAAGTTTTTAACACTTTTATTTAATAGATCAAAGGTTGCCGAAACCTTTAAGGAACATTTACATAATATACTAACAACTGGTTCCGTGGTGTAGTGATTATCACATCTGTCTAACACACAGAAGGTCGGCGGTTTGATCCCGCCCGGAATCAATCTTTTTTCACTTTTTGCGTTTGCTCATAGCAAAGATTATTTACGAAGAAACATTTTATGACGTATTGGAATTATTTCATGTGTAAAAACAAATATTTCTATGAAAATACAACAATTTCAGAATAACAAGCATTGAACCAAATTCTAGATTCCCATAAAGAAATCGGAAAAAGCGCTAGAGCATATAAAAATAAAAAACTTCGTTCATCCCGGAAACGTCCTAGGACCAATGGGAATTTATGATATAAGTATGTATACTAGCTGTGCACGCCGCCGCTATCGCGGCGTCCCGCGCCGAAAAAAACATTTTTGTGTAAAAAATTGCCTAAAAAATTTTGTCTATATTTTGTCTAAATTTTTTGAAAATCTGTATCAGCACATCCGTACGAACATTTTAAGCTATCACTTGCCCGGAAATGAGCAGTGGAAAGGGTCTAAACGCCAGTGGACGGACAGAGAGACGGACACTGGCTTTTTAGTATAGTACCATATCAGGGACGCATCCGGGATTACGAAAAGCCGGCCCGGATACCAGATAGCAAAAAAAAAACGGACCAGATAGTGAAAAAACACCGGATATTGACCGGATACCGGATATTAAATTTTTATCAATTTTTGGCGCTAATTTCCAAAAAAGTTTTATTTTCAGAAAACTTGGTAATGATTATTTAATGCATAGAGCACAAAGAGTCTGCTCGTATGTTTACCACAGAGGCAGGCCACTGTCTGCCCCTTCCATTCCATTTCATTTGCCAAGTGCCAAACGTCATTGCATTTACCCGCGAATTCAAAAGTGGTCGTTCGCCAATCCGGGTGATAGTACCAATTAATTTACCTTGCGGCCGATATTTTGTAAAACTCAAATGTTTAACTCTACCATTTTCTCATATAAAAGAGCAATTTAGCGTCATCATGTTCCAGTTGATCGCGTGATGTTGTGGTCATCACACCTGTCTAACACGCAGTTTAATTCTGCGCTAGATCACATTTTTTACTGATTCTTTGTTGACAATCAAAATTTCTTTTCATAGTTTGTTGCTTTTTAAATTTAAACTAATCACATAAAAATTTAATTAAGTGTAAAAAATTTTAATCGCATAAATCGCGAACTGAAACTTCGACACAAATAAAACTAGAAAAATTTTGATCACGCGCAGACCTCTGACACCTATCTAGACTAGATAAATCTTGCGCACCCTTATCTCTATAACTGTCTATCTATTAAATCGTCTTCTTCAGGATAAGCGAACACACATCCCATGACAAGGTAGGACAAGACAGGCTTCAGCTTGGTTGTCTTAGCCACGTCTTTGAATACTCCCTACAATTTCTGGGACTCTCATTTCAGCCAACTCATAATTTTTCATTAGTTCCTTAATAGAGTAATTTTTATTAGAAACTATCTCGTTATTTACCAATTATGTCACATTTTGTTCATTGTGACATTCTGTTGAAGTTTGCTATATTGGCCGGGTTTACGCTTCGAGGTAAGTCATTATAAAACGAAATACATCTGATATTCTTCCGAGATATGAGCTCAGTTTTCATTCTCAATGATTTTTGAACGAAAAATTGTACTTTTGATCTTTTTAAAGCGGTCCTATCAAAATTTTACTCTAGTTGTCCTCAAGATTAGCCAAGATTTACAGTTTAGAATAAGAAAAAAATGTTATCTTTTTTCTTGTTAAAAAAGGAATTTTCTATTCTACGCTGAAAATTCCCTCTAGGCTGTTTAATTTTGCACTATTATTTTGACCGCTCTCCTAAGTAGTCCCACAGTATACCAATAAGCTAGCAATATTGGTTTAACTTTTTTCCATTTCCAATTTTATAGTCATAAAATTATATAATTTTATTTTTTTTATGATAAAAAGTTTCAGGTTCCTGCATATCTCAGTATGATCCTTACAGTATGCACGCAGAATTCTACCATGCGCAACCCTTGTTTATTGAAGCAATTGAAGCCATTCAAGCAAAAATTTCCAACATCGAGCTTCAAATCGAGAACCACCACGCTAAACCATCCGAGACTAAGGCTCCTGAGGCTAAGGCATCCGAACCTAAGGCATCCGAGCCTAAGGCACCCGAGCATAAAGCCTCTGAGGCACATAAGAAAGCTTTGGATGACCTTTTCTCAAAAGTATCCGAAGAAATCCGCAAAATATTGGACTTCATCAAAGATCACAATAAAATGAGTACAAATCATGATTTGTTGCATACCGAACTCGTCGAGTTGTTCAAACCGCTCCACGAAACATTGGCGAAAATAAAAAGTGCACTCGAAAAAGACGTAACAACAAAATCACTCCAAGTCAAAACTTTGAATGACAAAAACGAAATATGTCTGAAAAACGCGCATGCGGTTATCGACGAGATTGATCAAGCGATCACTGATTCCTTCAATACATTTACCGATTCCATGGTGCGATATATTTTGCCATCTTGAGTTTTTTATAAGTCATGAATTGAGGGCAAAGTATTGTATTGTATACCTTCGAATTGTATTGTAGTTGTATTGGAAAAATAAAATTATTACCTGATTCTGTTTGTAATTAAAAAAACATTTTGAAATTTTAATATTGAATCCTAGAATGCTCCGTATTTCACTATATACACCGGTGAGTTAAACAAAGTCGCTGTGAAAGACAACCAAAAATTAATAATTAGTATCTGACCAGCGACTGGATGCCGTTCTAATTTACAAGGGTTGTCCTTTTCTGCAGTGCGCAACGCATTTCCTTCTATGATATTCCATGAAGAATATTTATTATTTTATGAAAATGAAATAAATCTGATTATAGTGATCATTTTATACAAACTAAAAATCAGAACTCATAAAGTCGCTCGTCTTTTCTGTCAAATTCAATTGTATAGGAAGGGAAATCACCAAAATGTTTATATAATTTTGTAAAGAATCATTCATTCTAGTAAGTCCGATTTGAGAACCTGTTCTGAGGAACAGATAAAAGACCTTGCCGCTATCAATTCGCTCATTAGCAGGCTCGTGCTGCATAAAATAATTTTACAGATTCTTGGCAGTGCGAACATTGTGGGCAGAAAATTGTTCCAATCTAAACTTGGCGTAAAATTTGATAAAATGGTAACTTGTGGGATATTAGTCGATATTATTACCACTTTTTCAATTTTTATATTATACTCCGATCAAGTACAGGTGACTTTGCAGCATGTTACATTTAGTATTAGCACCATGTTACTTTACTAAGAAGCCAGTGTCTGTCCGTCTGTGCGTCAGTGGACTGACGTTTAGACCCCTTCCAGTGCTCATTTCCGGGCAAGTGATAGCTTAAAATGTTCGTACGGATGTGCTGATGCAGATTTTCAAAAAATTTAGACAAAATTTAGACAAAATTTTTTAGACATTTTTTAGACAAAAATTTTTTTTTCGTCCGGAACGCCGCGATAGCGGCGGTGCTTTTGCTAGCTAATAGGTTTCCCCATTTACACACTTTTACAAGCGCCGTAGGCGCTTGTAATCATTTTTACTAAAGCGACAGAAGTTATAAACAGTTACATCTCTATATTATCATAATATAAAGATGTAACTAGAAGATTCTAAATGTAACAGAATTTTATAGACCATTCTGCGTGTAACTGGAATTCTTCCGTGTTACATCATGTAAAATGTAAATCAGAACGATCAATCATCAGCGTCTTAATTGTTGGGCATGTAAGTTACATCCCCAACAATTAAGACGCTGATGTCGTTCTGTCGGATCATCTGTATATGTGGAAGAGCCAGATCTCGCAATCCATCCGTTAGCCAGAGGCGAGTGATAGCTCAATCGATAGGTCTCGAAAAGTTAGGACGGGTCGCGAAAAAAATTTGAATATTAGAATTCCCGCAAAAACGTGTTTTTAATGATTTTCGCCAGGGGAAGTGGTGTTTTTATGTTCCCAATCGATTTCTCAGGCCGTTCAGGACATCTTTGCTTTTTACATTTTTTGATTTGGCGCATTTTCGAAAAATTTTTCAAAAAAGCCGAGTCTAGGTAAAAATCCCCCCTCCCAAAAAAGCCACTTTTTGGCCCAAAAATGACATTTTTTGATGCAAGGGTACCACGGGGCTAATTTTTTGTACCCGGAGGTTTTCGATGGTGCCGAGTCCGAATCTGACGTCAGATTCGGGATCAATTCTCACGAGGTCGTGTTATTCTCAAGAGGTCTCTTACGAGGTATTTTTTGAATTCTCGGCGCCGATGTGAACTTAAGCCCATAGGGCGGCGCGGCGAGTAGCCGCACCGCCCGGGTTTAGAATAATTGTCAGGCATGACACGCGGGAAAACCAAATTTGAATTCAATAATTTTTTTCTCCATTTTTTACCGTGTTCGACTATTTTCTGAGTGTTCCTACCCCACCGGACCGGGGTACGATCTATCGATTGGCGCTATCAAAATAGGGTGTATCGCCACAAAAAATGGGTGGTTTACCCTATTTTTCCGTTATTTCACAATAGGTGTTGCGAAATAACGGAAAAATAGGGTAAACCACCCATTTTTTGTGGCGATATATACCCTATTTTGATAGCGGCAATCGCTAGATCGTACCCCGGTCCGGTGGGGTAGGAACAATCAAAAAATAGCCGGACACTGTAAAAAATCGAGAAAAAAATTATGAAGTTCAAATTTGGGTTTCCCGCGTGTCATGCCTGATAATTGTGTACCTTATGAGGCCCGCTCTGACGCGGCGTAGGCCGCGGCGCCGTCACTAGTAATATTATTATGTAACACGGAAGAATTCCAGTTACTCGCAGAATGATCTATAAATGATGTTACATTTAGAATCTTCTAGAATATTCTGAGTCTAACATATTCTTTACATCAAGTCTTCATATGTAACATTGATATTTTAAATTCATAATTTCCTAGCATATATTTTATATGAAAAATCGCTTTGGTATATCTGTGGAATTCTACCAAGGATTTTTTTGGTATTACGGTATTTTAGGACTCAAATTCTACGAATCCGTTGATAGCATTC